TAGATCTTTTTGAAAACGTAAAAATTGGAAAACAATAACAACTTTATTATATAGTAAAGTACAACAGATATGAAATTTAAAAAGACAATATGACAATTACAAATAGACTTAGAATTAGTTGTCAGGTAATTTAGATTGATAACATCACAAATGAAAATTCAAGAAAAGTGTTTATAAAAAGGATCATTCTCCCAATGTAGATCAATACACCGTAAAAGTTGACAAATTTGCTTTCATTGATAGGAGCCTTGTAATCATCCCGATCAGGAGGTAGTGCCACCAACACTTACGGTTTCCCACCGGTTATGCTCTTAAGGGTAGTCTTTTTCTTAACGTGTTCCCGAGTCGACTAATCGCGATTAGATTTTATCGATCCCCGTTCACGCGCTAAAGCTTTTTGATGAACCAGTGATTATTCGTACATAGTTCAACATAGGCCATTCACTGGTTCTAGAGATTTCTTTGGTTTAGCTGATTTAACGAAAAACTGACGAAGTCTTTGTTGGTGACTTCGTGAAGTTCCATAATTTTGACAGTTACCAGAACTATCGAACTTGCGTCAGTTTCTGCTTGTACAGAGATAATTCTTTTTGCTTACTGTTTCGTTGCTGCGGAATGTCAAATAAATAAATGAACTCGACATCTGTTTTATGAATTTCGAAAGAATTGCAACGTTATGATTATGAAATATTTAATTAATTTTGAAATATGTTTTAAAGTCTAAAATGGTTTTTTGAGTTTCATTAAAATTTCACTGCGTGACGGTATTGTATGTCATGTAATGTTGTTTTCGTTGTCAGTATTCGTTAGTGTTTATGCAAAAGCACATTGCTGTAGTCGGTGTTATTAAAGAGTTCATAGTGTTCATACTGTAATGTCTTCAAAAGAGGAACATTTGTACCATCAACTGTTCTTGGCCTATAAAGGTTCTCATGCTGACTTGCTAGCGCAACTGTATCAAAAAAATACCAACGAAATTTGGAAAACGGCTAAAGAAAAACTAAAAAATAAAGAAAAGCTTATAGAACATATAAATGATGTTATACGAGAG